CGTCCGTCCGTGTCCGTCTATCTGGGGTGTGGAGAAGAGCAGCGTTAACAGGGCACGTGCTTTCAGTATTCACAGGACTACCAGCAGTTTTATCAGCAACAAGCTGGAGGGCTGGAGTCTGACGCCTCGTCCACATCAGGTAGGAAACCTCCCCTCCCCTCTAAGCTTTGGTTTAAGCAGCTGCAGGTGAGCAGATATGGCTAGATGTTTTAATCAGACCCAAAGCTACACATCCCTTTCTCTGCAACAAGGCTATTTATCCCCCTGGGTCTGGGCTTTATTGGAAGACCAGGACTGTTCATGAATGCCAGGAGCCGATGCAGATCTCCTGGACACCACTTTGTGGTCTGTTTTCATCTGTGGGGTTCACAGCCACTGGACCCCCTCTTCTGTGGCGTTAGGAGCCACAAGTTCAGGCCAGAGACCGCATGGCCCTGGAGTGTGGTACCCAGACGTCAATCAGAAGGAGGACTGAAAGAAGCCTCTGCTTCTAGAACCTTCTATTCCGATGTTACAATGCCTCATAGTTCAATTGTTCCTCTACTCTGAAGCAGATATGGCTTCTTGCGTCTCTTCCCACCTGCCTGTGGTGCGGAACCCTTACCTTTGCCCGCCCCGATGGAGCAGGGTGACGGGAAGAGAACTGTAGTCGGTGCAGTGGTACTTAGTAGGTGTTAGGTTAAACAAGACTAAGGCGGGGGGGCGGAGGGTGACCTAGGAGGTCAGTGCCCTGCGGCTCTTTGTCCCTAATCCCAGTGTTTCATTGTCAGGCACAGCAGTGACAACGACCTCTGCAGCTGTTGTGTCCCAGAGTCCCCAGCTGTATAATCAAACCTCCAATCCACCCAGCTCTCCGGTAATCCTCTCGTCCTACATACAGAACTGGTTATTGTTGGGGGCGGGTCTCTTGCTTTATTGTGCAGGTATTTTCCTCCTTGCCCGCTAAGCCAGTGTTGAGGAGTGCACACCTTCCACCCTGCTCTGTGCCTGGCAGTATTAGATAGCTAAGAGAGTATGATAGTGTGATTGCGTGTATGTGTGAACTCTAAGCACGCATGTGCGTGCTGCTCTCTGCCCTCTGTGTGCTCTGACTTGACCCTGAAGAAGAAAGCTGTGTTTTTCTTGGGGTGGTTGCTCTGGATGGGGCTGCAGTGTGTTTGTGGCAAGGGAGCCCCTCCTCCTGGATGCGTGCCGTGACTTAGCATTCTCAAGGCCTTACCGTTGAATGTTACTGAAGCTGCCGTTCTTTCCAGACTGAGGAGGCACAGCCTAGCACTAGCACAAGTACACAGGCACCAGCCGCTCCCCCCACTGGTGTCATTCCTGGTACCAAATATGGTAAGCCGAATCTCGTGGGGCTGTGGACACTTGTAAGGTTCTAGTTGTTGGATTTGTATAATGTGCATTCCTTTCCCCTTGTTGGGTGCCAGAGGGTCGCTTGGGGACGCAGACCTAGAAGGAGCGCTAAGGCCTGCTGCACCTCAGTGGTTAGGGTGAAGTAAGGCCATGACTTGCCTGCCTTGACTGTGTGGTAAATTATGTCTTGTAGCAGTGCCTGACACGTCCACTTACCAGTATGATGAGTCTTCCGGCTATTACTATGACCCCACAACAGGACTCTACTATGACCCTAACTCACAGGTAATGCATGGCTTTCCTCCTCGTTTGCACCTGCACTGTCTAACGAATTCCACACCGTCCACTTAGCACACATGAGATTCAGGTGCCCCACAAAAGACTCTTAGCCCAGCGCTTCCCCCTGGAAGTTGTCCTCTCGAGTGCAGGTGAGTTGTGACCCTTCAGCACCGCCAGGGGGCCTTTTGTGTTAATGTCTACGTACGTGCTCACTCCTGTGACCACCACCCAGCCTACTTAGGAAATCCATAGGTGACTACTAACCTATGTGTAAAAACCCTGCCCAGAAGTGTTTAATTTGTGGTTTTTCTCAGGTATTTTTTTAGTTTGTGTTTGCGTAACAGAATCATAATTTCCGAGTGTACAGTTCTCTCCTTTGTTGTGAACCGGGTGATGGTTGCAGAGGGAGGAGCCAGGGCGTCCAGCTGTCTGGCGCCCTTGATTGCAGTTCCCACAGTGGAACGCCTTTGCCCACTCCCTCCCTGTGTCCCCTGTTTCCTTCACTGACCCTTCTGCTGCCTCCCTTGGTGTCCCCCGACTTTCCCTCTGACAGACTGAAAACTCGACCTGAGCCCAGCAGGAGGGGTGCGGGGGGCAGCGACAGTCTATTCTGCCAGTAAGCCTGGCCTTGTCTGGTTTTAGATGTTGAGTTGAGTTACGGTCTGTATGAGTGGTCCCTTTTGGAGCAGCTGGTCGGGCACAGCTAGTTCTTTTGGTCTCTGGGTCATGGAAACTGGTGTCCAGGTGGTCCCTTAGTCCATGGGGCTAGCTCTTCACATGCATCTTCAGGTTTTTTCACTCTTTCCTGCAGACGGGAAGAAACCAATATTTATACCTTATATGGCCGCTCCTGAGCTTTTAAGATCCCAGTTGCTCCTCACCAAAGTAGGATGTAGAACACTTTGTAGACTGTTACGTCAATTAACCATGACACCCCACCCACCTCCCAGCCATGGTCCTGAGCCCCAAAGCCCCGTCAATGACTCGTTTCCTCAAGTTGTTGGGTTCTAAGATGTTTTCTTGATTTGGGCCCCTATATGGTCTTGGTGGTTCCATGCTGGGTGACCATCTGCAATCTGAAACCACTGCCACTACAAGGGAGAAAGATGGCTTTTCTACTCCTGTCCTACGGGTTCCACTGGGGGCAGTGAGTGTGGGTTTGAGGGGTTTTTTGAGAGTGTGCTCCACCATCTTATTGATCTATTTGTAGCGTGTACAGTGGACAAATAGCCTGTGTCAATTACACATCTATTGATGGTGTGCTCCCACCAAGTCAGTCCCTTTTAATCTGATCACAGGACTCGACCAGCACCACCACGATCTAATTAAACAGGCACGCCTCCTGTCTCCCCTTCCCCTATCCCCTGACAGCTACTAATCTGCTTCCTATCTTTATGGATTTGCCTGTTCTGGACACTTCTGTATAGAGAATCACCCGCTAGGGGCCTTCCGGGTCTGGGTCTTACGTAGTGTGTTCTTCTGTATGATGGGCTTCAAAAAGTTTGTAGGTAAATAGAGTTGAAGATGGTGGGACTGTGGGTCAGCTTTAGCTCTAGCAGTTACTTCACATAAATGATGTATTTCTTTAAAGTCTCAAATTCTTTATTTTTTAATAGTTTTGTTGGCATATCCTTTGTGTCTCATACAGTTTAATTGTTCAGTCCTTTTAGGAATTGCACAGTCCTGTACTCATTTCTGTTAGCTCCCATTTCCCTCCAACAACCTCTTTTATGCCCCTAGGATATTATTAATCCAGTTACTGTATAATTTACCTATCCTGGACTTCATAGGCAGAAAGCCATACAAAATGTAACCAACAAAAACCAACAGTGACATGATTTAGCAGAGAAGAACCTCAATCAGAAAGCAGAAAACATTAAAAATTGAGACAACTTTTAAATGAATCAAATGGGAGATCGAGTATTAACATTTTAACCAAACTCCATCTGCCATAATCGTTTTTACAATGCTCTCAGTCTGATAGGCTCTTTACCTCCCTGGACTGTGGTCAGAGGGGATTCACCAAAGAGACCCTGCAAGTGGATTTAGGGCTTCCACTGTCATCAATGGCCTTCTGCAAACTGGATGTCCAAAATTTAAGCTCTGATACCATTCCCTCCTCTGTATTTGGATTTTATTATTTGCAATCCTTGGATCACACGGGCTGGTGTGCTTCTCCCACGTGGACTTGGTTGAGGCTCACTTAGGTGGCTGCTTGTTTGAAGACACACTTTTAATACCCCAGATACTGTTCTTTCTGATAGCTGGTCATCGGAGCCTCAGATTCTTAAGGGTAGAATTTAGCAGCTCTTTTGAGGGCTGTTTTATTTTTAGTGGAGGAAAAGCAACTGTGGCACTCTGTAAACAGTAACTATTTATGAGGAACTGTATATATAGAAAGACAAAATAGGCACTTTTAACAGGAACTTGGAATTTATAGCTGCCAGGTCTCTGCTGATAGCGTGAGGTTTCTGAGCGAACCAAACCTCAAGCTCTGGGTGACCTGCCCAGCAAACCAGGCCGTAACGCAGACAGTTGCAAAGACAGTTCTTATTGGCAGCCATAGGGGGTGCACGGCCTGTTTGTTCCCCCATACCACCATCTGGAAGGGACCTAGAGACAGCCCCTCTCTCCTGGCTTCTTGATGAGCAAATAGAATGAATGGTCAGCATAAAGAAGCCCCTGGGTGCTCCCTGTTTTCCTTTGCAGCTCTTCCCCTGCCTGTAGATCAAGCTCCTCCTCAGCCCCCAGGCTGCTGCTGACAGCCGGGGGTCTGGTTTCCTGGGGGTCCCAAGGGTAGGACAGGAGGATCTTGAGTGATGCGCCTGGCCTGCCCGCCTGGTTTGCGTCTCTCAATGGGAAGGAGTGAGGCGCACTGCTTTCTGGGGGCCTGTAGCCTCATGGAAACTGGACTCTCGAGAAGAAGCCCTATTCTCCTGTAACACCGGTTGGCTGGCTCTCTCTAGCTGTGAACATCAACTGCTTCACAACATGGTGTCTGTGAAACCACATACTCTGTTGAGGAGCTATGTCTTTAAGTTAATATCTCACGGTGCACAAAGCCTTCATGAGTTGGTCTCCCCCCAGTACTACTACAACGCATTAACGCAGCAGTACCTCTACTGGGACGGCGAGAAGGAGACCTACATGCCAGCTGCCGAGTCCAGCGCCCACCAGCAGACAGGCCTGCCGCCTGCAAAAGAGGGGAAGGAGAAGAAGGAGAAACCCAAGAGCAAAACAGCCCAGCAGGTCAGAGCGTGGTCTGCTTTGGACCCACGTCCCCAGGAGTTTCCCGTTGGGCCCGTTTACAGCCAGCTTGGTCGGACTCTGACACTCTGAGCCCTCCGTGCGTGAGGGTAACTGTCTGTACCTGTGAGGCTGTCCCGTGAAAGTATTTGTGGGTAGAAGTGCGGGGGTTGTTACATGTGTCTGGTTGAGAGAAACCCGGCATGGGGGTTGTTCTCTAAATCTCCCCCACTGAAGCTGTTTCTGGTGATGTCATTGTTGTTTGACGTTAGATCGCTAAAGACATGGAACGCTGGGCTAAGAGTTTAAACAAGCAGAAAGAAAACTTTAAAAATAGTTTTCAACCCGTCAACTCCTTGAGGGAAGAGGAGAGGAGAGAATCGGCTGCAGCAGACGCTGGCTTCGCGCTCTTTGAGAAGAAGGTGACGGTGGCGGGAACGACCGTCTTCCCCAGCGAGAGCCCCAGCAGCACTTGCGGCTCACGGCTTCTTCTCTGTCCCCCAGGGAGCCTTAGCAGAAAGGCAGCAGCTCATTCCCGAACTGGTGCGCAATGGAGAGGAGGAGAACCCCCTCAAAGTAAGCACGGCCCCTCAGTCTTGGTGACATTCTCCCTGTGAGTCTGAACGGAGTGAGAGCCCTGTGCAGATGGCGGATCACCCCTGTGGGGCGTTCACCGCGCCTTCGGCTCACGGGACCTGTGTTCAGGGCTCTGCTTGCTGTGCGTGAGAGCAGGTGAAGCGGAGCGGTTGACGTGGCCTGGATCCCTAAGCGCAGTTCATTGAGTGTCATTGCACCTCTAAATGGGGCCTTTTAATGATCCGGATAGAGAACATTAAGAAAAACCTCCTTTTCCCGGGTAGACACTGGTCTGGGCGGGGCACTGTTGTGATCTGCTGTGTCGGGGTTCCGTTTTTGGTCGGTGCTTTGGCAGCAGTCGCCCATGAGGCCCTGGTTGAGCCACTGCTGTCTGCCCTGTCGTCTCCAGAGGGGCCTGGTTGCAGCATACAGTGGTGACAGTGACAACGAGGAGGAGCTGGTGGAGAGGCTTGAAAGTGAGGAGGAGAAGCTGGCCGACTGGAAGAAGATGGCCTGCCTCCTGTGCCGACGCCAGTTCCCCAACCGGGACGCCCTGCTCAGGCACCAGCAGCTCTCGGGCCTGCACAAGGTGCCCTCACAGCCCCACCCCAGTGGCCACTTTACACACACCCTGGTCTCTGGTTCTCACGCCTCGGTGTCTCGGTGTGGGCTTTGGCTCTTGGAGTCCGTTAGATAGTGGGGCTGGTATTGGTGTGCCATTTCTCACCGTCTAAAATACTCTGCAGCAAAACATGGACATGTACAGGAGGGCCCGGCTGAGTGAGCAGGAGCTGGAGGCCTTGGAGCTGAGGGAGAGAGAGGTGAGTGCGGACATGCTGCCTGTTATTTGCAGCCTTTAGCTCCAGGACCCAGGAGCGGTGGGGACAAAGGGATTTGCTAACAATTTGCCTCCGAGCCAGTGGGGGTCATTGTGCACTGTACCCCAGGCTGTTTGTACTCAGAGAGCCCCAAGTCCCTTTCCCTTCACAGGGGTGTGTAAGACATATGGCCTGTCCCTGGAGGTGGGCCTGTGGGAATGCTAAGAGGAATGGGCAGCTCTCCCCTCCCCTCCGGATCCTGGCTGACTGACTGCCCAGGGCCCCAGGGACTGGGTGAGGACGACCTTGACAAGTGGTGGCTAATGACGTAAATCGGCTTGTCCAAGAGGGAGTTGTGGCCCAGGTTCTGAACACAGCTCACTTTACAAACCCGGCGGCGGAGCTGTGACTGCTGCCTGGGGAGCACAGGGCATGGACTGCTCAGGTAGAACAGAAAGGGGATCCCAGAGCAGGCAAACCAAAACAGCAGGGTCGCCCTGGACTGTTGGGGTTGGAGCCCGAGGCGCTCCAGCAGTGTCTGTTTCCCCACACAGATGAAGTACAGAGACCGAGCTGCCGAGAGACGGGAGAAGTACGGCATTCCAGAACCCCCCGAGCCGAAGCGCAAGAAGCAGTCGGATGCTGGCTCCGTGTAGGTGCTGCCTACACCCCCGTTTGTTAGCCGAGCACACGCTGGCTGTGCCTCACCGCGTGTCACTCACTGTGTGTGTGTGCCGGCAGGAACTACGAGCAGCCCACCAAAGACGGCATTGACCACAGTAACATTGGCAACAAGATGCTGCAGGCCATGGGCTGGCGGGAAGGCTCGGGGCTGGGGAGGAAGTGTCAGGGGATCACCGCTCCCATCGAGGTAAGCGCTGGGCTGCCCTGCATTGATGCTGGGGTGGCAGACTCGTTCCACAGGCCCTGCGACCACCGAATGGGAGAAGCCTGGGCCCCCACACCCTAGTTCACTCCACCTGCCTTTAAGATGGCATTTGGGTGCCCCTGGTTTTTCTGATCTCCAAAAACATATTTTTGGATAAAAAAGTTCCGTGACTCGGCTTTGAGAGTGATTTGGGTTATGTACAGAATGAACTAAAATTGGAAGCGTTCTCTTCCACGATTGAGTCCCTTCGGGCCATTAGAACTGGGTGAAGACATAACCCCAGGAGAGCGGCCCAAGGGGTCTCCAGTCTGTGCTGGAAACGCCACTTGGGTCAGGCTCTCACAGATGTCATGTGGGCCCCAGTGCAAGTTCTGCTGATGCCAGTATGACCCAGCATGTGCTCTGGTCTCTGCCTACAGCTACCACGTCATCAGTGGGGGGGGTCCTAACCAGGCGCGGGTGCTTGCCGACCACAGAGAAGCATTTGTGGCTCCATCATCCTGTCTCCCTTCCTGTCTCTCGTTTTGCTCCTTGTCCCTAAAGCTGCTCCAGGTCTGCCAAGTAGTGGTCCTTGTCTTCATGACATGCCTTTCTCCCAGGGGTGGGTGTGCTCTGTAAAGCGTGGGCTTGAAGAGGTGGGGGAGTTAGCACTGTGCACCCTCTCTGCCAGCGACTGACCATGTTCCCTCCCCTCAGGCTCAAGTGCGGCTGAAAGGAGCTGGCCTCGGAGCCAAAGGCAGCGCATATGGCTTGTCAGGGGCCGACTCGTACAAGGACGCCGTCCGGAAAGCCATGTTTGCCCGCTTCACTGAGATGGAGTGAGTCCCGCCGGCCCGGCACCCGCCATGCAGGCCTTGATCCTCAATGCTGGCTCCGTGCGGGCACCTGTGCTCCTAACACTTCTTAGGCTGAACCACTTTATCCCGTGGGGTTCTCCCCTCTCCCCTTAAAGGAGCCCCCAAATATGGGCTGTCTGGTGCGTGGCCTTCTTTCCTGCCAGAGACTGGGGAGCTGGACGCCGGGGTGGGGCGGGGAGGGGTGGGTGGGGAGGGCGCGTGGCCCTCTCACATCTGTCCGTGTACATAGTGTCATGTACCGTGATTTACACGTGCAGCCCTCGGGTGCCGCGGGTGCCCAGATGCCTGGGGTGGTTCGCGACACCAAAGCCGCCTCTGTCAGTTTTGTTGTGCTTTCTTTTTCTTGGCAAAAGCCTTGTGTATATTTGTATATTGCACATTTGTACAGAATTTTGGAAGATTTTCAGTCTAGTTGCCAAATCTGGCTCCTTTGCAGAAGAAATACCTTGAAAATGATAGTGTGTCTTGTTCTTCTTGGGGAGTGGGTGGGCGACACACGCACCGCTGAGTCAGCCAGCAGTGATGAACCCATTCCTGTTGGTACTGTTTCCTTGCCCCCGCCATCCATGCTCGGGTGGTTTTGTTTTTTCAACCCAACAGCATCTGGTACTCCCAGGTGGTCTCCTATCCGTGTGCTCCAGGCCTGCCCTGCTTGGCTTCCACAATCAGACAAGACTGGACGAGCTGGGGAAGCAGGTAGACGCAGCACAGGTTTGCAAAGTTCAGGGATGTGTTAAAGTATTTTTAAAACTTTATGGAAACCAACCATCATGACTGAACA